CCGACGGGTACGGGGACGGGGATGATTTGGCTCGCGGGGATAGGGACAGGTATCATGAAACCCGTACCCGCCCCGCCCCGTTGCCATCCCTAATCTTGATAATAAATTATTTTTCATTTGCTTATTAGATCTTGATTTTGGTTCTTCGGATGATAATCGATCACTGACAATCAATTATCTTTTTTAGTGATTATGCCTAACTGGATAATTAATTTTTTTATCTTATAATCGATTTTTGCATCTCAAAGTCCGTGAAATCAATTTTTGTGAGCAAGAATTGATTTTTATGGTTGAGAATTTCAATTATATGCGAGGTTCTATGTTAAGGAAAAAATTAGGGTTTTTTCTCTCTCATGATTTGACTTTTATTTATCTTAAACTAAACAACCGAAAATTTTAGGCTAAAAACTTATTTTGGTCCTTTATAATCTTTTTTGTTTCAATTTAGTTGTCTTTATTATAGACCAACATAGATTGGCTCTATATAAACCTGTCTTGTATTCCTTGTGCAGTTGGTGAAAACAAATTTTGCTTATCGAAACATTCTCTCATCTTCTCTCTTCCGCTCTCTCTCTCTCTCTCTCACACAATTCTATTATGGTATCATAGAGCTCCTCAATCCTCTTCCCCTTCTTTCTTCTCCGTCTCACTCCACTTCTCTTGGCCCTTAGGTCTTAGATTCTGGTGTTACTTGTCATATTTCTGGTAATCAGTCTCTTTTCTCCTCTCTTTCTACTTCTAGTTATTTACCCTCTATCACTATGACTAATGGCTCTCGTGCCCCATCTCATGGTGTTGGTACTGTCCATCTCTCTCCTTCTTTCTTCATTGACAATGTTCTTTGTCCCAGAGTCTCCCTTTAATTTATTATCACTTAGTCGTCTTACTCGCTCTCTTGATTGTCTTATCTCTTTTACTAAAGATTCTGTTTTCTTACAAGACTGGAGTTCGGGACGGATGATTGGCATCGGATGTGAGTCCCATGGCCTTTATCACCTACGCACTTCTGCTCCTGCTGGTTTGGTGGTGGATTCCCCTTCTCTCATCCATGCCCAATTAAGTCATCCTAGCCTTGCTAAGCTTCAACACCTTGTATCACATTTGTCTAAGTTGTCTCATTTGTCATGTGAATCGTGTCAATTAGGCAAATATAGTCATAATTCCTTTTCTCGGAGTGTCCCCAACCGAGCGTTGTCTCTTTTTGCTTTAGTTCACTCTAATATTTGGGGGCCGAGTTGGGTTAGGTCCACTTTAGGATTTCAATATTTTGTAACTTTTATTGATGATTATTCTCTATGTACTTGGTTATTTTTAATGAAAACTCGATCTAAATTATTTTCTATATTTCAATCCTTTTATAATAAAATTCAGAATCAATTTGGTGTTTCTATTCGTAAGTTTCATAATGATAATTCTCCTTAATACCTCTCTCACTCCTTTCAAGCCTTCCTGGCTTCCCATGGTATTTTGCATCAGACATCTTGTGCATATACCCCTCAACAAAATGGGGTGGCCGACCGCAAATATAGACACTTAATTGAGACCACTCGCACCTTCTTACTTTATAGTCACGTTCCTCAACCTTTTTGGGGTGATGTTGTTCTCACTCCATGCTATCTCATCAATCGCATGCCATCTTCTGTTCTCAACAATCAAATACCTCACTCTATTTTGTTCCCTAATCAACCTCTCCACCCTCTACCTCCTCGCATCTTTGGATCTACTTGTTTCGTCCATAATCACAGTCCTGGTCTTGACAAATTATCTGCTCGGTCTTACAAATGTGTCTTTTTAGGGTATCCTAGGTCTAAGAAAGGGTATAAATGTTTCTCACCCTCCCCACACAATTCTATTATGGTATCATAGAGCTCCTCAATCCTCTTCCCCTTCTTTCTTCTCTTTCACATTTATTGTCTTTATTATAGACCAACATAGATTGGCTCTATATAAACCTGTCAATGGACCGTTCTGGTTACATTTTCAATGTGTTAATTTTGCACCTGGAACGGGCCGTTCCGGATGCAAAATTAATACACCAAAAGTGCACCCAGAACGGACTGTTCCGGTTTCAGAACGGAACGTTCTGGGTCCAGGTGTTTTCAAAAAAATTATCATCCACGTGGCATCCACGTATGCATCTACGTGGCGTCCACGTGGCCAAAAGTTAACACCATTAAAGCAATTTGGACGGAAAGTCCCACATTGAAACCAATTAATTAATATGAGACTAAATTAAAACCAATTAATTAGTTTAAGACCAAATTGAGACCAAAAATTAATGAGAGACTAAATTGAAACAAAAAAAGATTATAAGCGACCAAAATAAGTTTTTAGCCAAAATTTTACTATATTTTTCTTCTATTTTTCTTTTCCCTGTCTTTCGCTCTCTCTCTCTTATTTAGATTCATTGAAATTAAACTCAATAACAAGAGAATTTACATCTAACTCATGCATCTTACACAATCAATTGAGTTAGGTCCTTTTACCCTCTTCCTTGTTTTTTATCTACAAAAACTTTTTTCTCATTTCATATCGGTCAAATGAGAAGAAAAAAAAATTCCTTTGCATGTTCATTGCAACTTAACATAGCATCAATTATTTTGTCCTTGGGGTCAAGATTTTTTTTGTTCATGAAAGAAAAATTTAGAAATTACAACTAAATAAAATTTGTTGGGAAACGAAAAGTTAAAATGAACAAATTTTAAAATTAAAAATACATTTAATCCTTTATTTTATTAAAAAAAATTAAGGGCCATTACTTGTGTTTTTATTTTATGTTTTCACTTTTTTAATTATAATAAAATTGTTATCTTATTTTCAATTTGTTTTTTTTTATCTTTTCAAAGATTAGTGTAAAAAAACACTGAAAACTATGTTTTTGTTTTCATTTTCTCCGTTTCCAATATAAATCTTGAAAATAGGAAATAAATTGAAAAAAAAAATATAAATCTCTAAAAACAGGAAATAAATTATAAAAAGATAACAGTTTTGTAATTAAAAAAATGAAAAGAAGGTAAAGGGATCATAATTTATTTTATCTTTTCATTCTATTTCTTAAACTCTTGGTTTCATAATCTAAAAAAACCTAGATTTGTCGTTACACATTCCAATTGTGTGAGGACAAAGATGGCGTGAAAGTAAAGCGTGTAGTGTTTGATCATGTACTCTCGCGAGTGTGGACTCGACCCCTGAACACAACATGAGATTGTAAAATATCGTTGGAGACAAACACAATCTCATTCCCCCATTGTGCTGCAATAATGAAAATCAACAGTGTCCAGTGAAAATGAACTTAATCTGTCACCATCTCGAGAATCCTCGATATTTTCAAACACATTCCACAACTAGAAAATTTCCCACCCTAATTAATGTTACTTCATTACTTTTCAAATCACTAGTTACTAGTATTAATTAATTACTCTTACTATCATTGGCTAATAGCAAAGAGTTTCAATTTATATATATATATAATATATATATTTTTAAATTTTCAATACCCAGAATCACATTCTTCTTCTCAGGTCAATATTGGGATTTAAGGATTCGTTCTGGTTGAGGAGGGCAAAGTAAAAGTTTGCTAAAGCTAAACATTTGTTTACTACCTTTTCATTCTTCAGGTATTCTCTTCTCTTTATATTTATTTATTTATTGATCATATAAAAAAGATTACTATACTATAGCTTTTTCCTTGTTTGTCTCTTTCTTTCTTATTTGTTAAACATTTGTTTATTTATTTATTTTCCATTAGCGGGTAATGTTCTTGCTTCTGTGTTCTAAATCCCCATTTGTGTTATGTCACTCTTTCATTTCGTGGAACCTGAAGCCCTAGAAATGTGATGAATGTATTTGTTTATTTTATATTTTATTTTACGTGTCTTTTGGTTTGCTTGTTTTTATTTCACAGAATAGGTTGATTTTGTTGAGAAAAATTTGATCTTTTTCAATGGGCACGGATGAAAGTGATAGAATGGTCGGGGGTTCATCTTCTATACCAGAAAGCGACAGCATGGTTCAAGGTTCGGAGCAGGAGATGGATCATAGAGAAGTTCCTGGTGGGGTTCCTGAGAGGGGGGTTGGGATTTCTTGCATTGAAAACCGAGGGTTGGGTGGTGATAGGGTTGTTGAGGAGTTCAAGAGTGTTAGTAGCAGTAGTAGTGTCTTGGAGACCAAGGCTTCGGTTATGAGTGAAAATGATGATCAAGATTTGGCTGATTCTGACACGCAAAGGCTATCCACTTGGTTAAAAATGTCAGAAAGCGAGATGGATATGGTGTTTTCTAATGATGGTGATATGAAGTTGCATTATGATGATTATACATCTGAGAAGTTGGACTGTATGTTTGATTCTGAGAGTCGAGAGACAGAGGCTGCAGTTATGAGTGTGGATGGTTCTCTAGGGGATGGTGGAGAAGCCGGGAGAAATGGAGGGAATAGTGGTAAGGAAAGGAAGTGTGAAGATTGTGATGGGGTTGTTATGGCTATTGCTTCTGGTAATGAAGTAGCAGAAGCTTCTGGCTTGAATGTGGATGGTTTGGGAGGGTTTGATGCGGAAGATAAAAAAGATGGGGGAGATGGTGAACATTTTGATGGGGATGTTGCAACTATTGCTTCTGAGTGTATAGTAGAAGAAGCTGCTGTTCTGAGTTTGGGTGGTTCCGTAGAGGTTCTTGGGGAAGATGGCGGAGATGGAGGGAAGATTGAAGAGGAAGGAAATGGTGCAGATTGTGGTGGGGATGCTGTTACTATAGATTCTGAAAGTGGGGTGGCAGCGGTTGATGTGATTGTGGATAGTTCATTGAGGGTTGCTGGGGAAGACATAAGATATGGGGGGAAACATGAAGGTTGTGATGGAAACCTTGCCACTATTGTTTCTGAGTGTATAGAAGCGGAAGCTGCTGTTCTGAGTTTGGATGGTTTGGTAGGGGATGAAAGGAAAAGTGAAGAGAAGAGAGAAGATGCAGTTTGTGATGGGGATGGTGTGACTATTGCCTCTGAGAGGAGACTAGCAGAAGCTGTTGATTTGAGTATGGGAAGTTCAGTAGAAGTTGGTGTGGGAAACATGAAGGCTGGGGGAAAAGATGAAGTTTGTCATGAGAACATTGCAACTGTTGCTTCTGAGGTTTTATTAGCAGAAGCTGCTGTTCTGAGTTTGGATGGTTCAGTAGGAAATAGTGTGGAAGACGGTGGAGATGAAGGAAAAAGTGAAAAGGAAGGAAATAATGGAGAATGTGATGGTAATGTTGTGACTGTTGCTTCTGAGAGTGAAGTAGCAGAAGCTGTTGATTTAAGTGTGGATGTTTCGGTAGGGGTTGATGGAGAAGTTGGGCGAGATGGTGGAAAAAGTGAAGATGAAACACAAAATGAAGGTTGTGATGGGAGCACTGTGATTATTGGTTTTGAAAATAGAGTAGCAGAAGCTGCTGACGTGAGTTTGGATGGTTCAGTAGATGTTTCTGGGGAAGTCGAAGGAGATGGAGCAAAAAATGAAGAGGAAGGGAAATTTGAAGGTTGTGATGGTGATATTGTGACTATTTCTTCTGATAGTGGATTAGTTGAAGTTGCTGATTTGAGTGTTGATGGTTCAATAGAGGTTGATGGGAGAGATGGGGGGCAAAATGAAGAAGGAAAAACTGAAGCTTGTGATGCTTCAATTGAACCTGCTGAGTTACTCTCTAATGTCAAACAGATTGCAAAATTCACCGATCATTCTAGTACTCCTGATCTTGAGTTATTGAAAGCTCAGCTTTCTGCATTTTATCATGCAAAAGGGGGTTACAAATTACCTGATTATGTGGATCCCCAGCCAATTCCTGGAGTAGATGAAGCAGTCGCTGTAGGTCACGGTAAAAGTATCGTGGAAGCACCGGTCCAAGGGCCAGTTGAAGAGGATTGCTTTGGCTTGCCAGCAAGCCCGGAGTTTGATGAACTGGGTCATGTTGTGGGGGTTTTGGGGAACATCTCGAACCATAAAAGAAAAAAGAAAAGCATAGCCGAAATTATGGGGGAAGACAGAGATGTTCTTTCAGGAAATAGGGAGGGGAATGCAGCTGAGGAAATGGTGAATGCAATTGAGTCAAATGGTGGAAAGAAGCGAAAAGGTGGTGAGGATGGAACTGCATCTAAACCTGTTCATAAGAAGAAGCAGTTGCTTCTTGATCTTGACACTGATGAAGATGTGTTAGGTGCTGAAAATGATGGTGGCGATGGGGGCAAGGAAACTGATGAAGGGAAAAGCGAAGAACGAAATGAGAAGGGTTATTTGTCCAGAGAAAGGAAGAAAAGCAAGTACTTGTCCCCTCCTTTTACTACTTCATCTAGGGGGCACATGGAGGGATATATTGAAACAAAATCCCTTAAAGTATCAAGGGAAGCAAAAGTATCTCAGAGAATAGCAGGAGCTGCTGACCTGCATGCTCTTCCAGTTTATAAGGGGAGGTTTTTTGATAGTTCAAATTATCAAATTGAAGATGATGGGGAGAAGATTATTGATCCAGATAAAGTCCAGGCTCCTGTGGAGGAAGTTCTGTCCCAAGTCAGAAATGCAGCTATTAGTCCACAAATTCGCAGGCAAGGCACTTCTCTTGATCAATTTGTGGACTTTACTTATGCCTTCAGAAGTTCCATGTATTGCGAAGGATTGCTAAACAATGTATACGAGAAAAGTCAACCTGGAAGGAAGAGAAAGAATCCAGAATCTGGACATGGAATGTTGGAAGATGCGAGTCACTCATCACCAAAACAAAATTCTGGACCAAAGAGGAGAAGAAAGGAAGCAGGTCCAGGCATGGCAAAATCAAAGAAGGGAACTGATCAAAATGCTGCAGGTGCTGTTCTTATTGTTTCATTTTGGCCAGGATCTACTCTGCCTTCTAGATCTGATCTTATCTCGGTGTATGGTAAGTTTGGAGCTCTGCATGAAGCTGAAACAGATATGTTCCGCGCCAATTTCACAGCTAGAGTGTCCTTCTTAAGAACTTCTGATGCACATGATGCCTTGAACCATTCACTAAACAACAACCCTTTTGGATCTTCTGAGGTCACTTTTCAGCTTCAGTATTTGTCTGATGGATCCAAGTCTGAAGAATATGGTGAAAGATCAAAGCACAAACCTTTGCCAGGTGCCACACCATTGTCACAGGGTAGTGAAGCATCCAAATTGGTCTTCATTCAGCAGAAGCTTCGAGGTCTGACCTTGATACTAGATGCATCTGGTGGTGGCAAATCTCCTGATATGATGGCAAAACTACAGAGTGAGATGAAAGCTCTCTTGGAGGATGTTAACAAGATGGTCGAAGGTCCTTTGGTCTAGATGAACACAAGGAAGACTAGTCATTATGTTGCAATGATTAGGGTAGGTTTAGTGATAATATGCCCTTTTTGTGTTCTGTCGTAATCCGGGGCTCTTTTTATTTGACTTTTTGGCTTATCTTTAATTTTGATAAAGTTGGTCGGTATAGTTTAATTATTTAAGGTACTTGTTCAGGATATGAATTCGTTGCATGCAAACTTATATAGATTTCAACATCTTTAGATTTTTCAATCTCATGGTAGTAATATGCAAACAACTTTTTAAGATAAAAAAATGTTATTCTTTGTCTATAATGTCGTTTTAAATTCTTCGTTTTGGGATGAAATGTACCCTTGATGATAATAGTATGACATGATTGTTAGTTTTAGTTTTTATGGACGACAAGTCTTTTGTTTTAAAATAAATTTCAGCATTTTAGTTTACCTTTTATTAACATTCAAGACTAATTTAATAGACTTTTTTAATAATTAAAATATTATCAAACATGATTTTTGCTACTTAGGAAATTATAGGTAATGTTTCAAAAATGAAATTGAGAACTTGGGAATTGTGTTGCCAATTGACAGAAGCTTGGAAATTTCTATCAAATGGTTAGCCTGTTATTTGAAACCCAACCATTATCTTCATATTTAATATCATAGACAAATGATTTCTATCAAGTAGACAACACGCAAAGAGCAATTTACACCATCCAATGAAGAACAATAGATTATGGCCTGGCAAAATAATGCATCACCTTGAATAGCAATACTACACCTCCAACTCACAATTACAAATAACATTAACATAGGTAGATTGCTTTATACACTAGAAGAAATCAACACATCGTAAAATTACAAGCTCCGCGGGTAAAAGGAACATGGACAAAACAACCCACCAAAAGTTGGATTTCATGCTCGTGTTCCCACATCGAAATTCAATTCTTTTTCTTTTAAGTAGATAAGCATAGGTAATGTATCTTCAATGTCTGGTGTGTAACAAAATATCAGTCATCAACAGGGTCCTGGGGAGTTTCATCAGGTTTGCGTTTGATAGTAATGACAGGGCATTCAGCATGCTTCCAACAAAATTCACTCACAGTTCCAACGAAGACCCTGTAGAAAATGTTCACCAAAATTCCTCAATAACATATCTCAGACTATATCAAATTCTAGGAGCTTCAATGCACTCAATATCAATATTCATACAAAAATCAAACAATTGGGCATACTTTTGAAATGGTCCAAGACCTCGGCTACCCACAACCAGAAAATCTGGCCTTAATCGTTGCACTTCATGACAGATTACTTCTTTAGGATCACCCTGCATAATCCATGCTTGACAGACCACCTACAAATACACCAACGTTTAGCTTGTGGTGAAGAGTATTACAAATCATTGAGGAGTAAAATCAAGTAAACTATCAATTTCATTCCTATATTAAAACAAACTACGTAACTCAAGTAGTCCTAAAACTATTAGAAATCACGCTATTTAGTCTTCCAAATATTAAGAAATCCTTCAAATTGGTCCTTGAATTTTACTAAAATACATCAACTAAGGGACTAAAGTGATGAATATTCAACACTTCAGAAGTCAGAACTAAAACAGTTTAATTACTTTAGGAATCACTTAGGAGAAAGAGTAATAGTTCAAGAACGAAATTGATATATATATATATATATATATATATTTTTTTTTTTTTTTTTTTGTGTGTGTGTGTGTGTGTGTGAACTAAGGATATCTCGCAACCAATTATTGAAAATTAATTCCTTTCAAGAAAGCTATAGAGATTACTGAAATGAGTTTTGCCTCTCCCAACAAAGTTTAGAAGTCTTCTAGACGCATGGCCAAGGAATTAAACCCCTCTCAAAGAACTCAATTATCTACAAACTGTATCACACCATATTGGTTATTCTTCAACTTACAGAGAAAATAGACTATGCACTGACTATCATTCATTCACAAATCATCATGTATGGTAGTAGGTTTGTTGATTTTTATAACAAGTAAAAATATTAGTTGATAGTGTAAAAGTCATTAAACTCTGATTTATATACACTATCGGTATCAAATAATTTTAATACCGATAGTCAATTGACATAAACATCTAATAAGATTTGATCATTTAATTTCCTCACCCAATTCATTATTCCATGTCTGTCTCAAGTCTAAACACATTTTAAAGGGATAACTTAAAAGCAACCTCTCTTAACATGTTAACAAGAATGAAGCCAAAGCCTAGAGCATGACACAAAGTTTAAGGAGAAAAAGCACTACCCCAATTTCATGACACCTATTGACAAAGTATTCCAGCAGATGAATCCCTCTAATCCTATCTCTCTGATTCAAATTCTTAAAATCTTCCGGCGACGCGTAGATACTATCCATGTCATCAAAACCTAACACAAACAAAAAACAAACACCACCATCAGATCACACATTCCTTTCGACAATAACAGCTCCAAGAATCACCATACCCAATTCTCGGAAAACACAGCCCGCGTCTAAAAATGAAAAATTTGACGGATTAAAAAGGGAGAGAAGGAGAAAGAGAGAACCATCTTCATCTGGGACTTGAACGTGAAGAAAGAGAAGGTTGAAAGCTGAAACGTTGTTGCGAATGATCTTCTGGATGGTCCATTCGAAAGCCCCTTTGCTGCTGATGGAAGGGTGCGGGTAGCCCTTCATGCTCGACTCGTTCACTGCCACCATTATCCGAGTCACCGAGTCCCCCATCGCTGAGTCAATTCACTTCAACTCGCTGCACTTTCCTTCGACTTTTACTTTGACGTCGCGCTTATATTATGCAATGACCACGGAGAGACTCAAGCACGCGTGTTTAGCACCGTAGCGTACGATAGTAACTGTCTATATGACATTGCTAAACTGCGCATCCGACCGCTACTTCGGACACGGTGCTGTCGTTTTGTCATGGGTTAGCGGGCCCTGGGCCCGGCCTTCCTTTTGTTTTCTGGCCCGAAACATCCAGAACGAAGCGAAACGTCAGCTCTCAGTGGTTCGTTTAAGTGATTATCACAAAATGTATTATAAAATTTGAAAACAATGTTTAGATATTGTAAAATAAGAAAATTTTAATTTTTTTATAAAATATTTTTCTCTAAAATTTAAAGTCACTATTTTTTGTCTTTAAAATATTATTTTAAAATAAATAATATTTATTTTATATATATGTAATATAATATCATTTAACATAAAAAAAAAATTAATTGAAATGATTACATAATAGTAACAACTAAAAATAAAAATTTTAAATTTTAGAAGATAAAAATAATTTTTTTTATTAGAATCAAAGTCAAAACTTACTTGTTTTACATAAACTAAAAACATATTTAAACTATAATTATATTCATGAATTAAAAAACAATATTCATAAATAATGGCATGTTTATATCTAAAATAAAAATAAAAATGACAAATATTTTAGATTATTTCTCGAGAAAAATTAACTGATATGGTATCAAGTATTTTTTAACTTAACTGGATTTAGCCAATTTTCTTATTATCAATTATTTAATTCTTTGACCAATGTTGTTGAAGTCGATTCTATGATTTATTTAAACTGAATACTAGATTAGTTCACTGATTTTTCAATTGAAAACTAATATAAAAAATACATGTGTTTTGGTATGTTCTTTCATTTACAATAGATAGATGTTTCAAATAACTTATGCCTTAATTTCTTATTTGAGATTAATAATGGCTGGTATTAGTTCATTCGGTCTCTGCAATCATTGTATTTCTGTATGGTTGTATTTGTACAAATTTTAGTTCTCTTTGTGCATGTATTTGTAGTTTGCTTTGCGTGATAGAATGGCCTACGTTATTCTAACATGTATGTGTGTCTATATCTACCTTTGTACACGTATATTTTATTCTAACATGATTGTTGCTTGCTTTGTACACGTAGATGGTGTAATTACCTCAACTTTTGCAATAAATAAGAGTAACCTACTTTTAAAACTAATATACATTTTTAGAGTAAATTTTGGCATTCATTTCAGGCTTTTTATTTAGTGATTTTTCTTAATTTTATTTTTAAAAATAAATTAGGAAAATAATCTTACATATCAAATGTTTTGTTGGAAAGGAAAAAGAGTACATACGATATGAAATTTTTTAGTTTCTTTTAAATTAATATGAATTCGGGAACGTCAGTTTGTTGTGTTTAGTGTACCATTTTTTTTATAAAAAAAAGTAGTTCTAAAAATATTTTTCTTAATAATGTTTTAAGTATATGTTTTGTTTTACAAAATTATTAAAATGGAGGGAGATGAGAATATGACTTTTTCAAATTGGAAGAAAAAATTTAATCTCATAAAAGAAATCACAATATTATTATCATTATTACTCTTTTTATATAATTTTTCTTTTGATTTAATTAAGAGGTAGAACATTCTTCTATTATATCGACTCATTTTAAAAATAAAGTAATATTTATACTTGTTACTTTATATTTAAAGCAGGAATCAACCGTAATTTTTTCGTCAAAGAAAATAAGAACAGAATCATTTATGTTAATAATTTTGATCATTCAATTCAATCATATACAGTTTTAAAATATTTTATATTAAACGTAATAAATAATTATATCTAGGAATAAGAAAGACTAATAAAATCTTATAAAGTATCATTTTAATTTTTTAAAAATATTAAAAAAAAAATACTTTAGTTTTAAATACCTTTTATTTTTTTAATTCTTAAAAATCAAGGCAATAAATAAGAAGTTGTTTAAAATTTTATTGTCTCAATGTTCAAGAAACGTTTTGGTAAAAACTACGGGGAAAAAAATCCAAAATAGAGAGTGAAAATTTTCGTGATACTAAAGTTAATTTAAATTAAAATACATATCAACTGTAATTGCCTTAAATATTGTAATTATGTATTTTGTGAATTGAAAATAAAAAATTAATTACATTTTGGAAGAATACATTAGAATATATACTCATTGTAATTGTCTTAATTAACATAATTATGTATTAGATATATTTATTCAATAACATTGTTCATTTTAAAAGAGTCATTATTTTATAATTTTTTTTCATAGTTTTTATATTTGAAAACTGAATAAAATAAGTAAAAAGTCTATAATGAAGATAAATTTATATTGGACAATATTTACCTGATTTTTAATTTCTATCAAGATAATTTAGATACTATTTTTTAAGTAAAATATTTAATATCTTATTTTTTTACTCTAAAACTTAACTATTAATAAAATTTATTTAAATATCAATATGCTTTGATGTAAAATATTTATTTCACATTCGTTAAAATTTCTTGGATTATAATGTTAAAAATAATAGAAATAATAATGTAAATAGTGTAATATAAAAATATTTGAAAATAGAAAAAAACCTATCATCTATCAATATCTTAAAGAATAGTGCTAAAATAATAAAATCAATAATGTAAAATTATAATTTTTAAAATAAATATTGTAATATAAAAGCATCTAAAAAAATAATGATAAAAGAATAATTACATAAATTTATTATCTATCATTACTAATGTGTTATGTAATAAAAGGATAAAAATAAGAAAATCCTACCTTTATATATATACATAAAATAAAAAAAAGCACTCTACCTTACAAGTGGATAAAAAGAAAGAATAAATTTTTTCTTTACATAGAAAAGGTGAAAAAGAAATTTAATAAATCTTTTATGGACCCAAAAAAAAAAATAGAAGCTACAAACTGTGAAGTTCTTGAGTACAGATCGAAGAAGGCATTAGCTGAAGTATTTTCAATGGGTCAAGAATATGTGGTCAACCATTTCCAATGGGTCAAGGCTTTATAGAATTTCATCAAGTGGACATGAAGGTGGAAGATCTCTTCATACCACAAGAGAAAAGGTGGAACCAACAACTAATAACACTAGTATTCTGCACCCAAACAATGCTTCTGCAGTGCTACATGCCTATATTTTCAAGTTGGTCAAGAGGGGGATAAAAAAGTTTGGTGGCTAACTAATAATGAGTTGCACATTTTGACAACTACTTATAATATATTTTTAGTCAAAGAAATCCACTTAATTTTAGTCAAAGCAACTGCATTAAATACAGGAATTTTTTTTTTTATCATCAATAATGATCTTATTAACTAGAATTAGTTTCATAAAAGATACTTATTATTTGTACCAAACAAATTTATGTGTTATAGGTAAAGTATATATGTATCTATGTTAGACTATCAAGTACAAGAAACACTCGCATATTGTATTGTATAGATGATCTATTTAGTGAGATTTGTATTTAGTTGTTATTGAGTGCAAAAATTTGTTATTATAATATCATGAGTGGAATATGTGAACCAAGAAGGAGTGAAAAAAAAATATAAGAGCATTAAAAAAAATTGATAATGGTATTTTCTTCTTCTTTTCTTTATTGAGGGGTGGGGGGTGTTGAAGACATGGTGGTAAAATTTGAATTCAGTGCAAAACCTGCTTCCTACATATGACTTGGAAGACTATCCCTTGTTCCCTTAAGAGGCTCAAAGACATTCACATTATTGAAGAGTGTGCAGTGACTAGTGGAGGACAATTTGGCATGGGCCCTATAACAGAACATGAGTTTAGGGTTGTGTTGTTTAAGGACCAAACGTTGTTCTGACTTGTACATCACTTTTCTTTGACAAGGTGCTTCCTTGACCCAAAATCCGGGACATCCTAATTTCCATTTTGAGTACTAGACATGCCCTCTTCAAAAAACATGCCAGTACGTTACCCTATTTTATTACTCCTTTTACCATGTTGCCCCCAATAATGCAATACATTACCCTCTCAAGTTCTCAGCTTTAGACCATCATTGATATCAAAATTAACTCTTATCTACGTAGTACTCAACTTGGTGTCTTTATACAAAAATTTGCAAGTTCAAGTTTAGTGAAATAACTCAACAAAAAAAAAATGAAAGAATCTCACTTTTTTTTATTGTCATTTGTTTGTCAATATATTTATCTTTACTATTTTTTTTTTAAGATTAGCTTGGACAAATCATTTAAATGAAAGTTGGCATATCCTCTTCCATCTCAAATTAACAATAAAATAAAAACGTCAAATATGCTAATAATTAATAGAGGGATAAAAGAGAAATGGAAGGACATACAATAAAATGTGGTCTTAGTAGAAATACTTCCATTTATAGATCTGTAGATAAAGCATAACATTGGAGAAGAAAATATCTTCCAAACTTCTTATGAAGTTAATACAAAAGGTAAAATAACCACAAAGAGTAAAGACCCCTCTCTAAGTTGTCCTAACACACAGTCTAACTCCAATTTTTATTGGATATCATCTTATCCCAAGTCTTAATTAGACCACAAAACAAAATGTTCCAAAAGTCTTAATGCCACTACTTACAAAATATTTCATCCCACTTTGCCCTAAAGATCCCACACATGAAACAAAGACAACAATGTATAGACAAAGTTCACGGATCAAAGCTAAAAAGACATGTCCCCAATTCAAATCCTAATAATTCAACAAGTGTGCAATTGAATCAAAGAGCGCGGGAGACATGTACAATGATGCCAAATTGCGAAATCAACATTTTCCAACCTATCAAAGTTAGCCTCAAACATGTTCTTAGTCCTAGTAAATAAGACAATTAATATTCATCTTTAGTTCTTCAAAACAAAATCATCTCTCTTAACTCCAACTATAAAAATGCATCACATGTGATTTTTTACTTTTATAAACGAACCAAAATGTGGTAAACTTTTATGAAACAAAAAGATACATTTCTATAAACAAGAGATGAGATTATTTTGAAAGACCAAAATCAAACATTATTTAATATTTATAAAGACTAAAAACATGTAAGTCCTAAACCTCAATCCTTAAAAAAAAAAAAAAAAAAAAAATACCAGTTAAACAATACCATCTTGAATCTTCCATGGTGTTGTGGATTGGCTCTCTCCCCCAACCCAAAATGATGAATCCAAAGAACTAATCATCATGAGAGGAAGAAACCCTCCCAAAATCCAAATGACGAATTTGATAAAGCTCCCTCCAAACCTTATCACCATCAAACCCACTATCGATTTTCCCAAGAGAATCACAAACAATACCACTATTACCTTCACGAGTGTTTCTCTCAAGCACAACATCATCACCACCATGATGATGACCCCTTTTGTTGACTTTCTTGTTTTTCTTGTTCTTGTTTTTTTTCTTCCTCCCCAAACACTTCCTTCCCACCACACATGGACCCTTTAAAAGGGCCAAGGCGAAGCAATGCAGCACAGCGCAGGGACAGCAACAGACGGCGACGCAATCCGCCACGTAGCCGCCGCAGCATGAGCGGCAATACTTGCCCGAGCACTTGATCAAATCCCCGCCACCTTCATCCACCGTTGCGAACCTGCCACGTGGCCTCTCCTTCCTCTGATCACCGTTCATCGTTGTCCCCTGCGTATGCAAATGCAATGCGTAGGCCTTTTATATGTTACACAAATCGCCAACTTCAAAAGCGCTTCTTATTTTCATTTCACAAATTGTTATTATTAAATACTTTACAAATGATTTTTTTTAAATTTATTTTAATAATTAATTGCATGTCACATAAATATTAATTGAAATTATACTGATTTAAGATCGCCTTAATAAATTTATTATTAAGCAAGATGATTCATGTAATATGCTCATTTTTAATAAATTTTAATTAATAATTTTAAATTTATTAAAATGAGGAGTGCGAGTTATATATTACTACTTCACATGTTCTTTTGAAAATATTTTTATTATTCATTAAAATTTATTAGAAATTAAATTTTTTTAAAGTTTTATTTTTTGTTTAAGAAATTCATTCATGATTTTTAAGTTTTAATTAAATTTAATCAATAATAAAAATGTGTTAAAACGATATTTCATACATTCCTCATAAAAAAAATATATGTTGGTAATATGCATGCTTCTTATTTACAATAAAGACAAAATATATATATTTTTATAATAAATTATATATAAGTATATATAACTATGAAGATGAAAATGTGGAAATCTTTATGATTGATTTAGCAATGAGAGAATTTGAATGAAATGCACACGATGTTATATTCAAACTTTGATTGTAATTCCGATACATAAAAATAAATAAAGATAAGAATATGTGAAATAAACATATGTAATATAGTAGAAATATTGGGAGAAAAATAATAAGAGATATTAAATTACTCAAAAATATTTCCTTTTTTATTTATAATACAACAGGTCTAATCATTAACTCATATTTGACTATTAGATTCAAAGAAGGTCTAATGATTGACTTATATGTGATTATTAGATTCAAAGAAGGTCTAATGATTAATGAGTAATTCTTGTAATGATTAATGAGTAATTCTTTTGGAATTACTTCTTATTTTTTTAAAAAAAATTTATTATTAAAAATTATAATGATAATGATAAAGTTTTAGAAGTAACTTGATATCCCTTGAAATAAATATATTAATGGGGGAAATTAAGTTTGAAAAAATAGGGGAAGTAAATGAGAGGAAGGTTCACGCGTACGTTATTGTGGCCACTCACTCACTACTACTAGTGCTAGATTTAGTCCAACAGCCACTGAAAATGTGAAGTTAAGTACTCTTGTTGGTTTAAGGATACAGTGACTTGGTACTTGTGTTTGTGTGGAATTGTCCCTTTGAATGGGGCACAACTCTTTACTTGTCTCTTGGACTCTATTGACCATTTTTGGACGTGGCTTATTGGCATTCACATTCACATGGAATCCCACTCAACTCTCTTGATTAATAAGAAATTAAGACATGGTTTGAAATTATCATGAAGTCATACCAATGCTGCTAGCTTTTCTTTTTTTTCACACACAATTTAAAGTTGAGGTTTCACTTAAAATAATTTGAAACATTAAGACTATGTTTTGATTGTGTTTGGGGGGTTCCAAACTCAGTTTGGAGAGTAAACTCAGTTTCATTACATGTTTGGTACTTTGGTTACCTTCAAAAACACAGTTACACACTTATATTTTGCCTCAAAACTTGATTTCATAGGAGTAAGATTAAGTTTTTTTTTTTTTCAAACTTAGTTTACAAAATAAAATAAAAAATACTCAAATTAATTAAGTTTGCAAGTGCACTTATCCTCTCAGACCAACTAACATTAAGCCTACGTAGAAATCAACCTAAGCAGCTATTTAGTATAAAAAGTTTGTTATATACAAATGTAAAATAATCTTCAATATATACTTTTTAAAATAATCAAAATTGCATGCATGATGTGCATTTTAGCTTTTGGTGGTGGATGAAACCTTTAGCTTTAGGTTCAAATTAGGGAATTTCACCGCTGTTGAGCACTTGTTCTAGCTATTTGCAGGTAAAGAAAAAAAAATGGAATATTAAGTTACAGAAATGCTTGCAACCATAGGAGTAATTGTGGGCATGAGATAAACAATGTATAATTAATAGAGAACAAAGGTAAGATAGTAAAAGCATTGTTCTGACATGTTGTAGAGTGAAACTTGTTTTTACCTAAAATAAAAAAGGTAGAACTTGTGATTGTGATAAAACAGAAATATTAATTGATCACTTATTCTTATTTTGGTTTGTGTTGCAACTGCTACACTTGTCTATATGCACTGTGCAGGGACCTGTTATGTGTCCTACTTTTTTTTTTTTTTTTTTGATAAATAAAGCATGATGATGATCCATATTATATGTATAAAGAGAGAAACAAAATGAAAAAAAAATTTAAATTATTCATGTTCAATTGAAATTTGATGTGAATGGAAATGACACAGAAAAAGGTAAAATCCCATCAATTGCCTAATTCTTGAAACATCAATCACTATTTTTATCTTGAAATTGGAATCAGATGTTTGTGGTAAAAAATAGTGCATTTGAATCGTATATGAAAAAAAAAATTATGTTAGAGGTCGTAAAAAAATGTTTCTAACAAAAGAAAAAAAAAGGAAAGACATTTTGTATTTAAAGATCGTAGTGTTTCTCACAAGACAAAAACACTTTGAGACAAAAGATGCTCCTTCACATGGATTCCTGATCTAAAACAAAATGATGAATAGTAGGAGAAAATTGACTTGTATATTGGCCTAGCTAACAAAAGATTAAAAATAAATGTATAAATAACTAATTAAGTATTTCAATTTAATGAAAATGATTTCTTTTAACTTATTTGTGGCAATCAACTCTGAAATCTAAGAATTAGCCATTGAAAATGATTAGAATGGTTCTAAAGTTTGACATTGTTTGAACATTGTAAAGGACATCATTAATTCAGTCTTGAATACTGAAAGTTAGTAATGGATAATATCATTAATATGATTGAAGGGTTAATGAACGATGTGATTATTTTAGTGAGACTTAATTTACAATTATCTAAATATGATGTATAGCACATTTTAGTTCGAAAACTGTGAATTTTTAATGATAATTATGGACTATTAATACACAGTCTATATTAATATAATATTTATTATTAAAAATTATTTTTATTTATATTACAAATATAATATATATTGATATATTACCAAAAAAAATATAAACATAAATTATTATGATATATAATATATGTTATTATTAAATTTTATTCAAAATTAATATTAAAATTATGTATAATTATAAATTAAATAAATTTATATATATATATATATATTATATTTATAATAACACTTTTTATAATTGAGATAAATAATTATAATTAAGATAAATAATTGATCTAGAATATAAGAGGTCATTTATTCAAATAAAATTTTGAAATAAATAATCAAATTATAACGCAACTTTAAAAGAAAAATCAACGGGTAGTAATTTTGATTTTTTTTAAGTATTACAAATAAGTTTAAATTATTACAAGATACAATTTTATATAATAAAAATCATATTTTATCTTAAGTTTTAACTAACAACTAACAACAAAAGAAATTTAACCAACTGATATCATCCATATGATTAACTTAATTTGAGTGGAATCTAAGTACATGTGCATATTCAAATAGTCCAGCAAGTACAGTGAGTGATGTATATCTCATGAGAGATCCAAGATCCACTTTGACTACATGAGACTATAAGTTTTATTACGTTAGTCATTCAATATGATAATGCATAAGAAGTTGTACTTGTCATTGATTAATTATAAGTTTGTTTTGTAGGATAACTTTTATATATTAAATATAAATAATTATTTGGTTTAAAATATTTTTATAGATTATTCTATGAATAAAATGTTTTTATAATTTTTATTTAATTTAATTATATTTATTAATAACTTAAAATTTAATATTTTAAAAATAAATTATTAATAATTAAAATTAATCTTTTATCCAATATTAACTCATTCTTATATATTAAAAAATAAATAATTGTTTTATGAGAGAGTATTTTTTAATAAGAGAATTTTAATTTTTTTTTTATTTTTATCTAATTTAATTTTTATTTATTATATTTATTTATAAAATAAATTTTAATATTTTAAAAATAAATTATTTATATTAAAAAAATAATATTGTGACACAATACAAAATATTTATTATAAATAAAAAATATAGTTTATATGTTTAAAAATATCTATTTATATAAATTTTAAATAATATATATTTATTTAGTTTCATTTTTTTCTTATTTATTATTTGTAATAAAAATAATTTATATAAATTTTAATTATGTATAACAAATATTTTATTTGTGCATAGCACATACTAATTTATTATTATTTTTTTATAAGATAAATCTATAATTATTATAAATGAGATATATTTTGATAACTAGCCTTTTAATTTTTACTTTTTATTAGACCATTATATCTCTTAAATATAAAAAGAAATTATTTTTTTAAATAATTATTTATAACTTTTAATATTTATCTGTGTGTAATTATTAAAGGCATGAAATGCCTCAACCTCTTAATTATGATAAAAAAGAATTTTGAAAAGAAAAAAAATCTCATCACCTTGAATTCTTCAAAATAGAAAACGGTGTGCAAGTTATGTTCAATTAAAGTAATGTGCTCGTTCTTCAAGAGATCTGCCAATAACTTTAAAATTAAAAAAGAAAACAGAGGAGAAAGAGAAAACAGATCTACAAATATTGCTGCAAGGGAATAACTAGCTCTGTTAATTTTAATATACTAATATAAGTTAATGATGCTAAAAAAATTTACAGATTTTCACAAGTGGTATATTCAATTATATATCATTATAAAATAATTTTTAATATAATATGATTAAACTTATGTTATCTCATTAATTATAAGAATGATAGAAAATCATCTCTAAATTTTTTATGTTAAAATTATACTAAAAAATAAAACTTAAATTATATTTATAAGGACTAAATTTTTTTAAATTAAATTATAATTTGATAAATTTTTTAACCCATATAAATAAAATAATATTTACTTTTTAGGCTTTTAAAAATAAATTATACCATTTTGATTTGTCATCCTTATTTACATAATAAAATGTTTTTTTAGAAAAATAAATTTTACATATAATATATTTTTATAAATAGAGAACTAAAAAGATAATGATTTAATTTTGAGAAAAATATATTTTGTAATAAAATTAAAAACATAATTAACTCTTATAACATAAAAATATAAAGTTGGCACAAATTCAATTGTCTATAATAATAATAATATTATTATTATTATTACAAGTAGAATTGAATTTGAATTTTTAATGTTGACTTTAAATTTGTAAAGATTAATAGATCAGATCAAAAGAAAATATTCCTATAAAAATATAATTAATAAAATTCACTTACTTTAAGAGTAAGTAAATTTATTTCGTTCAATAACTTATATTTTATATCAAATTTTATTTTCTTAAGAATCTTAAATTGAAAATATTGATTTTTCATGTTTGATAGTTATTAAGATTCTTAAGAATATAGTTTTTCAATAATTATTTTTATCTCATATTCTTACAAAAGTTTTTATGAGAGGGTAGAAATCTAACATTCCCATGTTAAAGAGAAAGTTTTATGTATATAAAAGATCATAATATTTTGTTTTTAAAATAAAAGATATCTTTCTCTTTTCTTCTATTTCTCTTTCTCTCTCTACCTCTCTCACTCTCCCTCTCTTTTCCTTTCTTCCTCTTGTTCTCTCTCTCTCCCCCTCTCTCCTTCTATTTCTCTTTCTAGTTCTTTTACTCTCCCTCCCTTTTCATGTATCTATTTCTCCTACTCTTTCTTTCTCTTTTTCTTATATGTCAATATTTATTAAGTTTGTTAATTTTAATAATATTATTAAAGTTTATTTTATTTTTATAATTTTTTTGGTAATATAAAGTAAAAGAAACACTTATTTATTTATTTATTTTTATTTAAATAAAAAAAATATATTTTTATTCTTCTTAATTATAATATAACATTTTATTTATTTATTTTTGTTGAATTATGTATTTAAATTATTTTAGTTATAAGTTTTTAACTTTTTAAAATAGTTTAATGTCATATTTGTAATAAGATTTTATTAAATAAATATATCTAATGAGTTTATTTTAATAAAGGATATTTTTATAAAAAATATTTATATATCCAAAAATATACTATTATAAACAAACAAGTAAATCTTTGACTCTCTCTCAAGAATTCTTTATGAAAATTCTCAAGAACTTTTATGAATAACAAAATATATTTGAGCTATTCTCAAGAATTATAATTCTCAGGATTTGTAATTTGAATCATGATTCATGTATATGAAAAAAAAATTCTTATCAAACGCCTCCTAAAAGTTCTTAATGCATATATAAAGTCTGTAAAATTAAAAAAAAAATTAAAAATTATTTGATACATTATTTCATTAATTCAAATTGATAAATAATTATAAAAATATTTTATACATTAATTTCTGAATTAATGAAACGGGTATAAAATAATTTTTAATTTTTTTGAAAATATACAAACTTGATCTATGCATTAAAAACTTCTAATTCAACAATTAGATAATTAAAATTTGATGTAAAACATAAATTATTAAAAAAAATAAATTTGAATAGACTTATTTTTAAAATAAGCATATCACTCACCACTATATATATTTCCTATTAACTCATTTTATAAAAGTGAGATGGAGATCCACCATTTGACAATGGCACTAGATGTGACATCCTGGCCGCTACTACTAATCCCACAGGTAATATAATCTTCTTTTCCATAGTTGCTATACTTGTTATTCATAAACTAATTTAAGTCTCACTTTTGGAACAGAAATTATCTTGCTGCTGCAAGAAATGCTAAATCTATGCACTCTTTTTTGAGAGTGACAAGGGAGTTTAACTGCCAAACACTTTCCTTATATATTAACTAGGATTTGCATTGCATCATGTTGCATAATATATCTATCTTTTCCTTCTCATCATTTTTAAAAACATATTCTTTTTGAAGTCGTGTGAACATGGTGTTAAAGTTGCGTATGGAAATTTCAACAGAAGAAGTGACCTATTTCTTCAAACAACCAGAATGTATATGTAAACATTCAAGTGGGTTTCAGTTTGAAGAGATTTAAATAGAAATCACAAGTTAAATTAACCTATGCTTATTGAAGACATTTTCAAACATAAAAGTATCTAATTTATAATATATAATAAAAGGAATTATCTAATTTGGTGTATACATTTTTATATAATTTTAAATAATAAAAATTAATATTAAAAGTACTTATTTATTTATTTATTTTTATTTAAATAAAAAAAATATATTTTTATTCTTCTTAATTATAATATAACATTTTATTTATTTATTTTTGTTGAATTATGTATTTAAATTATTTTAGTTATAAGTTTTTAACTTTTTAAAATAGTTTAATGTCATATTTGTAATAAGATTTTATTAAATAAATATATCTAATGAGTTTATTTTAATAAAGGATATTTTTATAAAAAATATTTATATATCCAAAAATATACTATTATAAACAAACAAGTAAATCTTTGACTCTCTCTCAAGAATTCTTTATGAAAATTCTCAAGAACTTTTATGAATAACAAAATATATTTGAGCTATTCTCAAGAATTATAATTCTCAGGATTTGTAATTTGAATCATGATTCATGTATATGAAAAAAAAATTCTTATCAAACGCCTCCTAAAAGTTCTTAATGCATATATAAAGTCTGTAAAATTAAAAAAAAAATTAAAAATTATTTGATACATTATTTCATTAATTCAAATTGATAAATAATTATAAAAATATTTTATACATTAATTTCTGAATTAATGAAACGGGTATAAAATAATTTTTAATTTTTTTGAAAATATACAAACTTGATCTATGCATTAAAAACTTCTAATTCAACAATTAGATAATTAAAATTTGATGTAAAACATAAATTATTAAAAAAAATAAATTTGAATAGACTTATTTTTAAAATAAGCATATCACTCACCACTATATATATTTCCTATTAACTCATTTTATAAAAGTGAGATGGAGATCCACCATTTGACAATGGCACTAGATGTGACATCCTGGCCGCTACTACTAATCCCACAGGTAATATAATCTTCTTTTCCATAGTTGCTATACTTGTTATTCATAAACTAATTTAAGTCTCACTTTTGGAACAGAAATTATCTTGCTGCTGCAAGAAATGCTAAATCTATGCACTCTTTTTTGAGAGTGACAAGGGAGTTTAACTGCCAAACACTTTCCTTATATATTAACTAGGATTTGCATTGCATCATGTTGCATAATATATCTATCTTTTCCTTCTCATCATTTTTAAAAACATATTCTTTTTGAAGTCGTGTGAACATGGTGTTAAAGTTGCGTATGGAAATTTCAACAGAAGAAGTGACCTATTTCTTCAAACAACCAGAATGTATATGTAAACATTCAAGTGGGTTTCAGTTTGAAGAGATTTAAATAGAAATCACAAGTTAAATTAACCTATGCTTATTGAAGACATTTTCAAACATAAAAGTATCTAATTTATAATATATAATAAAAGGAATTATCTAATTTGGTGTATACATTTTTATATAATTTTAAATAATAAAAATTAATATTAAAAGTTAATTATTTTTAAATGAGATAAGATTCAAATTCAAAACCTTTAAATTTAAAAATTAAAGACGATATCAATTTAAATATTAATTAATTTTTAAATATTTTTATTAAATAAAATATAAAAATATAAAATATTTCAATCCCACTAATACAATATAATAAATATAATAATGATGTTGTATTTAATAAAAGACATGTTACCAACTAACTCTCTCTCAAACAAGAAAAATAAAATTAGTGACAATCACTGACATTTTATGAGATTGTAGATAAATTCTTATTTTTACTATCTCTACACTGTCTTTTTCAATTATTTGAAAAATAGAACACTAGCACTCTTTAGATATTACAGTAACTTTATAATTGTTTGAAAAATATTGTACAATGTCTTTTTCTTGAAGGGAACGTGGATGAAAACGTTAAAAAAAACAGAGATGATTAGATACAATTTCACAAAACTTCAGAACTATCACTATAATTTACTCGATGAAAATCCCTTCTTGACATTTTAATCATTGTGAAGATTGGTGGATAAAAAGAAGAGATATGAATGAAGATCCAAAATGCAAATAGAAGATGTTGTTGGGAGAGCTATGTATACAACCCATGAATCAATCATGGAGTAAGATCCAATCTCAAATTTTAATAGAAAAATAAACATATTTCAATTGAAAACATCATAAACAAGGTTTGCATTGCTTGCATGTATTTATTATAATCTCAACTTGAAACTCAAAGCCTCATACGAAAATGCAGAAGTGAAGACAGTGAAGTTAAACACAAAACATCAAACATTGACATAAGAATGAGCTTAAGAGATCAGTTGTTAATTACTCACCTCAATGCAAGATTGATGACTCCTTCGAATCAGAATGAGACTAATCAGCAGTAGGAATTCCAAGTTAAACTCCAAAACTGGTTATGATATGATGATATGAATCTCTCTTTGTGGTGTTACAAATACAAACTTGATCTCTGATGATATATAAGAAACACTCATTTGATGTGCAAACAACTCAGGTTAATTTCTAAGAGAGGAATCTCCTTCTCTCTCTGCTTGCTTTGTAGTTTATTTTTTATCGTAGTCTGTAACACTTTATTTAATTAAAGGCCAAACCTTATTTTATAATCATCAAAGTTCAGGAGAACAATATATATAACTTTTGTGTAGAAAAACTGTCTCAGATAGAGAGAGAAAGAGAAAAGGGTCAGAAGAAGCAAGCAATTGGAGTGTGTTCAAGAGTCCCGATGAGAGGGAATATGGGGAAGTGATGCTGTTCATCATATTATATATGTCATTTCAAAAAGAAAAAAATTATCCGAGAACATTTATAAAAAAAAAATTGAAATAAATTTTTCATAAACTAAAATTAAAATTTTGAAAAAACTAATAAAAATAACTTCTATAAATTAATTTATATATAAATTAGTTTTAATTTATAAAAAAACTTATTTTATCTCATTTTTTATTTTTTTTAAAATGATTACCTAAACATATAATGTGTGTACATATGTGTATGCGTGTGCATGTTTATAGAAGTGAAGAAAAAAAAATGCTTGTTTGCTTTTTTCCACCAAGTCAGATCATATCAATTGTTTGATTTTCTTACACTGACCTGAGCAATAGTCAGGCACGTGAGAGGCAGAATGCTCGTGCACCCCCATTGGCCTTTTGTTTGACTCCTTTAAAAGTCTTGCCAAAGTGATTAATTAAGGTGTGTAATTAAGATGTGTTAATGTGATCTAATACACTTTGTTATGCTTAATAGACAGAACAACTTGGATTTCAATTGAGACATGAATGAAGAGATAGAACCTGGTTAAGGAGATTAGGATAAGGGATGAGATTAGATGGATGATCTGATTTTATTTTTTATTCAAAAGAGAGATTTGGCCGGTCTCAAAGTTAAGGGTACAAAAACTTTACTTGCTTACTTAAAAGTGATAACTTTATTATGGTACAGCAAGTGTTTATGGAAAAAGGGTAGTTTAGACTATTACTTTTTAATAGAGCATATGAATTTGACTATAGAATATAGATGTATTTAAAACAATGTTAAGCCTAGTTAATAAATGGCTGATTTTTATTTTTTTAAATATTCAGTTAAGATTTTATTATTTTTTCATTTGTGTGGAAAAAAAAATTATGTTGAGCAGAATAAAACTCATTTTGTATCTAAAGTTAATATTTAAATTTGAGATAATTTGATTAATAGATATAAATCATTATTATTTATATTAACTAGTACTAATATTACTTTTTAGATTATTATAAATTTTTGATGTTAAATTATATTTTTAAAATAATATTTTTTAAAATATTAATATTAAGTATTTATTGACAATTTTATTTTATGAGATTATAATTTAAAGATTGAAATATATGAAAATTATAGTTTAATAAATATCTCGTTGTCAATTGTATTTTTAATGTAGTTTGCATAATTCTTATTTATAATAATAAGAATCACAACTTTTTTAATAATGTAATTCTTGATAATACATAGATAATTATATATCATGACAAAATAAAAATAATATGATTTTTTGTCAATCTAATTTAAAATTCATTATTTCTTTAGTTATTTCAAGAAATAATTACTGATCTTAAAAATAATTTCTTTATTAATTGAATAAATTCAACCATGTATGTTTTAATTTATAATATTAATTATTTTATTTTGAGAAAAATAAAATGATTAATATTAGGATAATTTTATATAATTTTTTTTAGGATAATTTTTTTTATAAAAAAGTTAGTAAAAAGAGTTTATTTCATTTATTAGGATAATTTTTTTTGTATAAATTATAAATAGAGTTGTTAAATATACCGATTTAATTTGACTTGTTCCATCCATTGAGTCAATATTTGTAAAGCGAGGTAACTTAACTTGATCTAAGTTTTTTATAGACCATTTATTTTGTGAGTTGACCATTTATTTTTATTTTATTTGAATTTTATAAATAAAATAAAAATTACTATTAGATCAAATAGTTCAAGTAGTCCAATGGATTGAGTTAAATTGGCTCAGTTCATTTTAGGTTACTTTTTTTTAAGTCTAATCCATCAAGTTATTGGAGGTCAATTTGTGTATTTGTATCATTTTTGCACCTTTAACCACAAATATCTTCATATAATGGGAGACAATTTTGTTTTAAACTAGATAAAATTGCTAGGAATAATAGAGTTATCCATATGAGTATTTAATATAATTATATATTCAAGAGTCAAACTCAATATCACTAATTAAGTTTAAACAATCACGTGTCAGTTGATTCATGTGCTTGTTGTCAATTGTATTTTTAATGTAGTTTGCATAATTCTTATTTTGTATAATAATAAGAATCACAACTTTTTTAATGATGTAATTCTTGATAATACATATATAATTATATGTCATAAAAAAATAGAGATAATATGAGTTTTTGTCAATCTAATTTAAAATTCATTATTTCTTTAGTTATTTCAAGAAATAATTGTTGATCTTGATAATAATGAGCAAGTTCAACCATGTATGTTTTAATTTATAAGATTAATTGTGACACCCTCTACCCCATTATTAATATACAACAACACATCTCCCTCTGTTAACACGACAAGCCAAAAATCTGTTTCTTTTGCCACTTGGCACTCTAGATTAGGTCATCCTAATGTTGATGTAATGAAACTTGTTTTCCGAAACTTCAATATTCAATCTGTGAACAATATTGAATCAACTTTTTGTGTTTCTTGTTGTCTTGGCAAATCTCATAGATTACCCTCAAATTTTTCCAAAACTGTTTACACTACATCTTTTGAATTAATTTTCAGCAATTTATGGGGCCCTGCACCAGCCACACCTACATGTGGCTATCAATATTATCTCACCTTTGTTGATGCCCACACACGCTTTACATGGATCTATCTTCTCAAAAACAAAGCCCAAACTCTTGGTATCTTTAAGCAGTTTCATACTATGGTTAAGAATCAATACAACCAACCAATCAAAGCTTTACAAACTGATTGGGGTGGTGAGTATCGCACCTTTACAACGTATCTCAATGATGTTGGAATTCAACATCGTATCATATGCCCACACACACACCACTAAAATGGGGTTGTCGAACGAAAACATAGGCACATTGTTGAACTTGGCCTCACCTTGTTAACCCAAGCTAATTTGCCTATACAATTCTGGGATCATGCCTTCCTCACTAGCGTTTATCTAATCAATCGGCTTCCATCTTCCTCTATTCAAAATGCGGTTCCATATCACAAACTTTTCCACCAACCCCCAGATTATCACTTTCTCAAAGTCTTTGGTTGCTCTTGTTTTCCACATCTTAGACCTTACAACAAAAACAAACTTCAATTTCGATCACAAGAATGTGTCTTTTTTGGGGTATTCAACCTCTCACAAAGGCTACAAGTGCCTTGCCACTGATGGACGTCTCTATGTTTCTAAAGATGTTGTATTTAATGAAACTATGTTTCCCTACAAGGATGTCTTCTCTCCGCCCACTGTCCATTCTTCCCAAAGCTCTGTTCAGGTTCCTCTTACTGTGACCCACACTCAAGCCTCTACACCTTACTCTTTGTCAATGTCCTCACATGAGCCCTGCCCAATTCCCACTCATCAAACGCCACCCACTATGGAAGCCGAGCCTTACACACCAGCATCCTCACCAAACTCCGCCCCAGAATTCTTGGACCTAGACCACAACCCACCCCACAAGTTCACTTTGCCTCCACACATACACAACCTCAAGCCATGATTGCCTCATCTTCCTCCTCGAGCAACAATACTTGGTATCCGGACTCTGGGGCTTCAAACCATGTAACCAATGTCTCTCAAAATATTCAACAGTTTACCCCTTTTGAAGGACCGGATCAAATCCATATTGGTAATGGACAGGGTCTTCATATTAATTCCACAGGTGTCACTACATTTCCCTCCGCGACAAATCCTAAGTTTCAATTTGCTCTAAACAATCTACTTTTTGTTCCCTCCATTACCAAAAATCTAATCAGTGTTAGTCAATTTTCCAAAGATAATTCTGTCTTTTTTGAATTTCACCCTTCCGTTTGCTTGGTAAAATCACAGGATACTAAAGAGATCCTTCTCCAAGGCTTGGTTGGTCCGGATGGTCTGTATCAATTCCCTGCTTTACTTCCCACCACCAGTACACAACCTGTCCAACACTTTAAAACTGCCACATCTCCCTCTGTTAACACGACAAGCCAAAAATCTGTTTCTTTTGCCACTTGGCACTCTAGATTAGGTCATCCTAATGTTGATGTAATGAAACTTGTTTTCCGAAACTTCAATATTCAATCTGTGAACAATATTGAATCAACTTTTTGTGTTTCTTGTTGTCTTGGCAAATCTCATAGATTACCCTCAAATTTTTCCAAAACTGTTTACACTACATCTTTTGAATTAATTTTCAGCAATTTATGGGGCCCTGCACCAGCCACACCTACATGTGGCTATCAATATTATCTCACCTTTGTTGATGCCCACACACGCTTTACATGGATCTATCTTCTCAAAAACAAAGCCCAAACTCTTGGTATCTTTAAGCAGTTTCATACTATGGTTAAGAATCAATACAACCAACCAATCAAAGCTTTACAAACTGATTGGGGTGGTGAGTATCGCACCTTTACAACGTATCTCAATGATGTTGATTATTTTTACTTTGAGAAAAAACTCTTTTCAAAAAGTTAGCAAAAAGAGCTTATTTCGTTTATTAGGATAATATTTTTTTGGTATAAGTTATAAATAGAGTTGTTAAATAAGTTGACTTAATTTGACTTGGTCCATTCATTGGACCAATACTTGTAAAGCGAGGTAACTTGATCCAAGTTTCTTATAGACCATTTACTTGTGACTTGGTCATTTATTTTTATTTTATTTGAATTTTATAAACAAAATAAAAATTACTATTGGATCAAATAGTTCAAGTAGGTTTTAGGCTTGAAAGTTATTAGCTCAACCTAGTCCAATGAGTTGAGTTAAATTGACTAAATTCTTTTTAGGTTATTTTTTTTTTAAGTCTAATCCATTAGATTAT